TCCAAAGCTATCTAATGTGAACGCAACATGCCGCCAAAGTCTGATCATCATTGGTACTCACGGCAAACTTCCTGGAGCCGAACCTCCTCTCAAAGATTCGGAAGTTGTAGATGAGCATGCCGCTGCAGAAGGAGTCTTTCACGTCCAGACACACCAGCCTGCCGCACAGCAACCGCCACACCTACCACACCACATCCATATTTTTAGGCAGTTTTCCAACGTTCATATTGTCCCTCCGCACCTCCCTGAATAATCTTTCAAGTTGGATATAGTTTTGTGTGACTGGTGAAGGAGTGATGATAAGATATCGGAAAAATACTTTCGATACTGAATTACCGCATGCGTCGTGTCAGATACTTTTCACACTTGGACTCAAGCAATACCTGCAGTTGGTGGCTGACCGCTTGCAGGTTGTACTCAAACATGTGCTGGTACTGCGGCAGCAGGCTGAGCATCACCGTCAAGCCGCTCAGCACCAGCAGGAGGCCTTTGGACAGAGGAGCCTTGTCTGGAAAATACAAACAAAACCATGTGGTCAAACGTGGCCGTCGATGTAGACCTGTATGTTCAAGTGTTTATGCGGGGTATGCGAGTTTAGGTATTTTGGGAGAATATATGTGGACATTATGCTGATATTGAAAAGGAGATGCTTCTTATGAAATCTGAGGTTGTTCTGAGGCCTTTAAACACAAAGTTTAGCATTAAAATAAAGGGGGCGTCTGCTGTGATTTTACTGATCTGACCCGCTTCAAGTGCTAATATAATTAGGCTGTTCGTGAACCCTGTAGTTGACACCTCAGCCTTTTTTTGGACAAAAGATGTAACTTTGACTTAACATTTATATGATTAATTGAGCGATTTTTGCAGGTCCATCCTAGGCTGTCTCGTCCCAGCTCTCTCGAAATAAGAAAGTAGATTCAAGTGGTTGCGCTCCTTGAAAAAAACGAATGACAACTACATGCAAATCTACTTCGCTAAGCTAGCCGAGTCGCCTTCAATTGCCAAACTCACACAGGCCGCGGGAACCGGTGGTGGTGAACATGACGTCGAGGAGCTTGAGAACACACCGGGGGACACACGGCGAGGTTTCAAAACAAATTAAGACTGAAACAAGGTGGGTTTGAAGCAGCAGTCCATGCTGGCTGGGATGAGGAGTGCAGCGGAGCAGGACGGGAAGCGGAAGTAAATCGCCAACGACACTACGGAAGCTCGATTAG